CCCATCGCCTGCCGCAACCTGTGCTGGCCTGTTCCTGCCAGGCTGTGGAGCTGGGGGATGGCCTCCAGGCCGGTGGGTCTTCTGGAGGCCTGATCTGGTCTGCGATGGGCCTCTGGGTGAGCAGACTGTCCCAGCCCTCAGCCCTATCCTCTGGGCCTGCCCACCGCCCACCAGTGTCCCCAGCCCTCAGCCCCGTCCCCTGGGCCTGCCCACCGCCCGCCAGTGACCCCAGCCCTCAGCCCCGTCCCCCGGGCCTGCCCACCACGTGCCTGTGGCACAGGAGCTCTGTGTGCGCTCCACGTAGCCCAATCGCTGGCATCCTTGGGCAGTGCACTTCTTGAGGCCTGGAGACCAGCCCGTTTGGTTGTTTCATTTTTTCAACTGAACAAATGTTCACTGAGCCTCCTCCGTGTCTGCTCTCAGCACCTGGTCACCTGTCCCGTGACGCTTGGGCGGCCCTGAGAGGGAGCAGAGAGCTGGGCCGTGAGCAACGCGTGTCAGTTCAAGGTCGCAGCTCGGGCCCTGCCCACCGATCGCTGTCCCTGTGTGTGGTCTGTCCTGCGCAGCACCCTCTGTCTTTACGCCTCATCCCCTGGGAGGACCCCATAAGGCCCAGCGGCAGGCAGCCGGTGCCTGGGTGTGGCTCCTCTGCAGGGTGACCCCTCGGAGCAGAGGCCCCCCGCCGGGCGCGTGCGTGCGAGCAAGGAGCTGCTGCCTGGAGTGCATTATACAGCCCACACAAATGAAATGGAATTTGTAATAGAGCAGTGCGAAGGCTAAGCAAAATTGCTTCAGGAAATCTCAATTGATTCCCACTCCTTGCGACAATAGGTGTTGGGCTTGTTATTGCAGGAACACAGCCTGCTGCTGCCCAGGGCCGAGCTGCCGCCTCCGCCCCGCCGGCTTCCCGTGGGCCGAGCGGTCAGGGTGACTCCGGCAGCGTGCCCCAAGCGCGGTGGCACAGGAGCGGGCTCTGGATACCTGGCTGCTGGTGGCGGGCAGGTGGGTGCGGAGACACCGCCCAGAGGAGCAGGCACGGCCCACTGCTGAACGGAGATGCTGTCCTCTCCCGGGGACCCAGCGCAGTGGAGCCCAGGACGTGTCAGCTCGGTTGGGGGTCACTGGTGTGCGAGGCCGGTGGGGGTGTCAGGGAGGGAGGGGCCGCTGGCGGTGAGGGAGTGATGTGGCATTGACCCTCATCGCAGGGACAACGGCTGGGGCCAAGCACTGACATGGGTCAAGGCCGCCCCTCACAGCTGCCAGGACAGCCCCCGCAGCACCTGCCTGGGGCTTGTTCCTGGCCAGTGCAGTAGGGAGGCTCGGGCTTTCATCGTGTCACTGGCCGCGGCCAGGCCGGTGTCAGCTTGGTCTTCGCGTGCAGAGGGGCAGTTGCCACTGGCACTGCCTCTTCAGAGCCCAGCTCGCCAGAAACGCCTGCGCACCCAGTCGGGTGCTGAGACCCCGTCTCCCGCACGAGATGGGTCCACCTTCCATGTCCAGGAGGGAAGCGACATGAGGCATGGGTTTGTGACACTGTGTCAGCACTTTGTTCAAGTCCCTGCACAGGAATTACAGCATTGCATCCAGTTAAAATTACCCGCTAATTCAGTCACCCTCAATTGAGCTGGCCTTACCCAATTAACTGGAGCTAACAAGCTTGGAGCGTGCTGGAACTGTTGTCTGCAGGCTGCCCTGCCTCGGGAGCTTGCCTGCCTGCTTCACACTCCACTTGTGCCCGTGGGGTGGCTGGCCGGGTGGGGCTCCCGTCCAGCAGGCTTAAAGCTGGCAGTGCAGGGTGGCCTCAGTCCACATGCTCCCGTGGGCCTGGGCAGGTTCCCAGGGATCCACTGTCTGGAAAGCTAGACTCTGAGGGCCAAGGTCCCGGGGCCCTGGCGGGCCTGGGTCACAAACAGGCTGTGGGTCCCCGGGCGGGCCTGGGTCAGGAACAGGCTGTGGGTCCCCGGGCGGGCCTGGGTCAGGAACAGTCTGTGGGTCCCTGGGTGGGCCTGGTCAGGAACAGGCTGTGGGGCACTTGACTCCCTGCTGCCTCGCGTGTTGTCCTCTGCACACCTACCCGGCATCTCTTGCAGGGTGCTGTCACTATTAGGGGTGCCCTGGACTCAAACCCCATGCCTTCCACTCTGGCTCTCGAAACACACCCTGCCAGGCTGTTGGGTGTCACTGATGTGTGAGGTTCGGGGGGTGAGGGTGCCAGGGCGGGAGGAGCAGCTGCCAGGCTGTGTGCAGAGTTGCTTGTCGGTGAGGCAGACTTCAGACCAGACAGGAACAAAACAAACCACCTGTTGATTTCTCCTCTGCCTCTGGAGTGGAGCACACCTGTCCAGGGTACCCTTCTCCTTCGTTGTAGGGCCTCGCTGGTTGGCAGGACCCCTCCCCACACAACTTCCTGATCCTGGTGCGGGGCATCGGCAAGCCATCACGTGTGCCCTCTGCAGGACACTCTGTCACGTGGGCTGCCTCCTGCTGGGCGGGCCCTCACGTGTGCCCTCTGCAGGATGCCCTGGCACGTGGGCTGCCTCCTGCTGGGCGGGCCCTCACGTGTGCCCTCTGCAGGATGTCCTGGCACATGGGCTGTCTCCTGCTGGGCGGACTCCTGCACCTGCTATCATGCCACGCTGATGGCATTGGTGGTTCCTGGCCCTCAGGGCATCCTGCAGAGGGCACAGGTAAGGGCCGCCCACGTGACAGGGCACTGTGTCCACACAGGTGTCACGTGGCTGTGCCGCTGTGGCCTCCTTTGCCTGCAGAGCGCAGTGCAGGGCCCTTGGCGAGGCGCTGGTGTGGGGCACAGCTGCTAACCGCCGAGCGGAGTGTGGCAGGCTTCCTGTGCTCTGTGAGTGCGAGCTAAGCGGATTGATCCCTGAGTGCTCGCCTGCACTCAAACTCGGCCAGGCCTCGCCGGCAGTGAGGTTAGACTTGGTGCGAGCTCGGTGGGTTTGGCGGCTGTTTGACCCTGCCCTTGCAGCACGCGGGGCTGTCTCTGGCTCCGTGAGATGAGCTGGTCGGTTCTCTCTCACTGAGCCTTGTGCGAGCTCATGACCTGTGGTTGTCCTGTCGTGCCGCAGCCCTGTACTTGGTTCACTTGCCCCTTGCCCTTGACCGGCCTCGCCACAGGCAGGTCGGGCTTCGAGGTCCTGCCGTGCCAGCCGCCGGCTGCCCTCCGTGCACGGTCACTCACAGACCGCACCGTGCACTGGGCCTTGTGTCTCCCGCCCGTCTGTGCCACACCATGGCCTTCGCTCTTCTTCTCTCTGTGTTCTCATGAAGGTTGACTTTTTGCTTCCTTGAAAGGCGGAGCCAGAGAGAGGGAAAGAGAGCTTCCATCTGCTGATTCTCTCTCCAGATGACCTCAGAAGCCTGTGGTGGGCTGGGCCACCACCAGGAGCTTCTGGGTCTCCCACGGGCTCCCACGGGCTCCCACGGGCTGCAGGGCTCCAAGCACCTGGGCCGTCCTCCGTACTTTCCCAGGCCATCAGCTGGTGCCGTCGGGGAGGCCGGCCACACAGGTAGAGGCTTAGGCTCCTGTGCCACAGCCCTAGCCCCTGTCTCGACATCTTTGTGCTTGTGGCTCCCTGTCTGACAGGTGTTGGGAAGCAGGGTCACTGGGATTAGAACTGGCACCCATGTGGAATCCCAGTGCGTGCAAGACAAGAACCCTAGCCACTAGGCTATCACGCCAGGCCCCATGGCACATCTTAAACCTCACCAATGCATCAGGCTTCCCTCGGAACCTTCAGGTTCCCTTCTGACCTCGTTGTCTTCCTTGAGGAATTCTGAGTGAGATTTTGTCTAGAGCGTGTCAGGCTGAGTGCCCGAGCTGCCCGTGGGTGGCAGGTGGCCGGTGGGGTTCCCGTGTCTGTCCCCTACTCACACACTCCGTCTGTCACTGCCAGTGGACACTGCAGGGGCTGCTGGCCTCGGAGTCGGAGGTGCAGATGTTGGGGTGCTCACCTGGCGGGGTCACAAAGGCCTCACCTGGCGGTCCTGCTGGCGCATGGAAGTCCCTGCCTCCGGCCCCTGGGCTGCCAAGGTGCTGCGGCTCCAGCTGTCTCCCCCGAGGCCACTGGCTTCAGCAGCTGGCCAGTGCCTCCCCTTGGCAGCAGGTGCCCGCGGCTGTTCCTAGGGACCTGTGTTGTCAGAGGGGAGGGCGCACGGAGAGGCTTGCAGTAAGCCCCAGAGCACAGCCGTGCTTCCCTGACCAGGAGAACACTGCATTTTCCTGGCCTCTCCTGGACGCTGTAACCACACAACACCGGCCTGAACGCACATGAGCGAGTGCTGCTGAGGGTACAGCACCGCATGGTCAAGTGCAGGGGACCGGAACCTCCCTCTGAGCCCTGTGTGGACACAGGGAGCTGGGAGGTGAGGGAACAGGTCGGGGGGGACACAGTCACAGGGAGCTGGACGTGAGCCCCTCCCTGCCTGGGTCCTGCTGCTCTCAGTGTCCGCATCCTAACCATGCCTCCACACTGTGCGGCCCAGGACCTACTGAGCATGGCTCCAGGCCCTCCCGGCCAGCGTCTGTTGGACTGCCGAGTGTGGTCCTGCACCGAGAGCAGTCCTGCACCCAGAGCCCGTGTGACACCCCATTGGGCTCTGTGTGCCCAGGGCCCGTACAGCACCCCATGGGGCCCTGTGCACTCCTCCTGCCCCATTGCCCTGTGTACCCAGAGCCCGTGCGGCACCCCACGGGGCCCTGTGCACCTAGAGCCCGTGCGGCACCCCACGGGGCCCTGTGTACCCAGAGCCCGTCGGCACCCCACGGGGCCCTGTGCACCCAGAGCCCGTGCGGCACCCCACGGGGCCCTGTGCACCCAGAGCCCGTACGGCACCCCACGGGGCCCTGTGCACCTAGAGCCCGTCGGCACCCCACGGGGCCCTATGTGCCCAGAGCCCGTACGGCACCCCACAGGGCCCTGTGCACTCCTGCTGCCCCGTTGCCCCCTGCCTTGCTGACTCCACGTGCCTTGTCCCCACAGGAGCGAGACGGCATGCGTGCCATCCTGGGGTCCTACGACAGTGAGCTGACACAGGCTGAGTACTCACCCCAGCTGACCCGGCGCATGCGTGAGGCTGAGGACATGGTGCAGAAGGTGCTGGCGCACAGCACGGACATAGAGGTGGGTCTGCATGGCGTGGCACAGCGGGGTGGGGCTGAGGCAGAGCCTGCTCGCTCGTAACTGGGAGGCTGTGTGGCGCCGTGCTCAGCAGCCCTGCGTGCTGGAGAATGGATCCAGTTCTGGGGAGAGTGGAGCCCCTGGCTGTAGTGGCCTTGGGCATTGGGGGCTATCAGTACTGGTGACCTTGCCCTGCCTCTCTCCCTGGGGCCTCCAGCTCCCACAGGCTCAGCTAGGAGAACAGAGGGGCAGCCAGCTCCTGGATACTTGGGATACCCAGGGCAGAGGGCCGTGTGCACGGCTCCTCTCTAGGGACGGCGACAGCCCCTCTTCTGCCTGGGTTTCGGAAGCACCGTCCCCTCTGCGCTGCCCAGCTGTCCCTGAACACAGATGCTCCCACTGAAGAACCGAGGGGGCAGGGACGTGCCCCGAGGGACCTGGGTCCCCCACATAGGCAGCCTGGCTGCGTGGCTCCTGCAGCCCACAGCCCACTGGTGCCCGTGACCACCGTCCCTTCACACTGGTGGGCGTGACCCCAGGAACTAGGGCCTCCTGACTGCCGGTCCTGCTGGCTGGCCATGTGGAGTTTGTTTGCTGCCACCCTGCCGTGACCAGTGGGTGCTGGCAGCCACCCCTCGGTCCTGCAGAGACTGCCCTGGCTGTGCGGGCGAGACCACCGTCAGCGCAATGCCTTAGCAGCCATTTGCCTACAGTGCGTCTGGCTCCGTGTGAAGCACTAATGAAGAGAGCTTTCGGGGAGGCTCCCTGACACCTCCCGCTGTCCCCAGCGTGGTCACAGCGAGAGCCCTCTGTCTGCCATTCCCCATGCACAGACCCAGCTCACTGAGAGCCACACACTGCCATATGCCCAGCGTTTTGCTCACTTGTGAACACAGGCTGTTGGTGGCTTCAGAGCTCCTTGCCAGTCACCACGGTGCCCTCCTGCCTCTCGGCAGACCTCAGCCATCACTGCGTGCACCCAGGGAGCCCTGTCCAAGTCTCCTCCGCCCACCTCCCGGAGCTGCAAAGGTCACAGCTGTAGGAGCGCTGTCGGTCTGTCGGCGTCCCCGCAGTTGACAAGGAGCGTCCAGGTGCTGTCTTCAGCCCTGACTTACCTGCACTGCCCACCCAGGCTCTGCTGGGCTTTGGCCCTGCACCGCGTGCGGGTGCCCTCTCCCCACCTAGGCCAGCACAGAAGCACCCTGAGTCTTGTCTGTCAAGGCGGGTGCTCTGAGAGTTCTGCCTCATGAACCAGGCTCCGCTCTGCTGGGAGCCTGCCACCCCCACCCCGGGGGAGGGACTGCATACAGTACCAGGGGCACTGACCACTCCCAGCCAGAAGGACCAGGGAGCATCCAGCAGGTGGCAGCAGACCAAGCCCTCCGTGGGCCAGGCCCAGGCAAGGCCAGCCCGGGGGCAGAGGGAGGCCTGGTGTCGGGGGACGGTGGCTGTGCCCCTCGCATGGTCAGGCTAGCCTCGGAGCTGACACTGGGCCAAAGGAGGGCAGCGCTGGCCAGGCCCTGTGCCCTCCAGCTGCTCCTGACCACCATTCCTCCTGTCCTCGTGCCTGGGACACTACAGCCGTGCCCTCAGCCCTTCCCTGCGAGACTCCTGGCCGGCCCTCTTGTGATCTGCTTTTCATCCCTCCTTGCCAGGAGGGGAGAAGGGCGAGCCCCAGGGGTAGCCCTGGCTTTCACCCATCAGCACCCACAGCCAGGGACCCACGGGACCCTGACCCCTCGTGTCTCAGCCTGGCCTTGTCCGCGGACGGGCTCGTGGTTGAGAGAGCCACGAGGCGCCGCTCGGTCACGTGTTGCCCGGAGACGGGGCCTCGGGCTCTCGCCTGGACGCCGCTGCTGTCAGTCTGGTGATGCTGCCCTGCTGTGCAGGCTCCCAGCTCCGTCTCTGGTAGCTGTGTCCCGGGGTGCTTCTCTTGCAGTTGGGGGAGCCTCATGACCCCCACAGCGTGCTGAACCTCAGCTGGGGGCCCTGCCAGGCACACCCACACCTCCCACTCCCTCCCATGCCTGGCCCTGAGTCCCTAAACAGCAAGGGGCCGGGCAGTCCTGAGCCCTGCTGGCCAGTCCCGAGCTCCCCACGCTGGGCGACCCTCTGCTTGGCCTCACCCTGCGGGCACTGGGCTCCAGGTTGGACCTGGGGCTGGTGCCGTCCAACCCTCAGCCCCTCTAGGCCTCCTGGTAGGAGTTCTGAGTTGGTCGGGTGCTGATTCCAGCAGGAAATGACGTGACTTTATGGCGCTCATCCACTTGAGGCTGGTCTCCTGGCAGTCACCCTTCTCCCTGGCCAGGATGCAAGCACTTGGGGTATGCGCAGTGCAGCTCGGAACCTGAGCCCTTGGAGTCCCACTGTTCAGCTGTGCTGGCAGCTAGGGAACGAAGGACAGCGGGCCTGGTCTGACCTGCGTCAGGGCTCCCCTGTGTGCTGCCTGAGCCCAGCTCCACCAAGCCCACTTCCGGCTCCTCCCGCTCTCCTGTTTCCACGCCTGCCGCACCATCACACCCTGTCCTGTGCCCTGGGCTCCGTTCGCGGCGGTGCCTGTATCTGAGTGTGCACAGGTGTCCGCCTGCTGGCCACAGAAGCTTGGCCCCCCCCTTCCTGTCGGTCCCACCCGTCACCCCTGACGCGCAGACGACTTTGATTCTGGCAGAAGCAGCCCAGGGAAACAAGCTGGGAGTGAGCGAGCCGGGGGACCCAGACCTGTCTCTGGCAAGGCTGGCGCCGTTCGTGCCACTTTATTTATTTTGTTTAATAACCGGCCGTGGGCGCTGGCGGTGCCTGGCGCGGACCCAGTCTCTGTGGAGCTGTGAGCCCGCACGCCGCCTCGGTCTCACGTATCTGCCTGATTTGTGCTTCCAATTTATTTAATTAAAACAGATTATGGTGCTGCGGCAGCGTGGCAGCCTGCAGTGGGTCTGGGCTGGTTTCTGGGCCCACGGCGCCTCCCTCCCCGTCACCACTGTGGGGCCCAGGTGGCAGCTTTGGGACTGCCTCTCCTCCTCGGCAGGCCACATTCTGTGCCGCCTCCTCACTCAGAGGCACCAGGCAGACAGAAAACCAGCAAAGCTACCTCTAACCCTGAGAGAGGTGACAGTAGCCAGGTGGCCGGACATCCAGGCCCAGGGAACCTTGCACGTGAAGTTGACGCAGGCAAGGCCGAGGGGCTCGCTGCAGTGGGGAGGGGTGCAGGGACAGACACCGCCGGCTGGGAAGGCTCCACGTGCTGCTGTGGCGCAAGTAGCGGTTTTGTGTCTCTGTGCTTTCAGACAGCCCTGCCGGCGGGCACTGCGCGCCACCTCACAGATGGCTCAGGCTGCGCTGAGAACTGAGGTGAGGGACCCTTCTGTCACATCGTCCAAGCCCACGTGTGAGCCAGGACAGCAGGCGAGTCCAGCTCTCTTCCTGCCTGGCGCCTGTGCCCAGAGCCTTACGTGGGCTCTAGCCCTTTCTTTTAGGCCACATGCCTGGTCTGCTGGAACCCAGCTGATCCCCCGCGGGGCCCACCTGTCTACTGCCTGTGTCCCCCCACTGTTCCCACGTATGTGCTGATCCCCCATTGTACACCTGTGTCCAGATCCCACCGTGCCCACCTGTGTCCTGACCCACCGTGCCCACCTGTGTCCTGACCCCCCACTGTGCCCACCTGTGTCCAGATCCCACCGTGCCCACCTGTGTCCTGACCCACCGTGCCCACCTGTATCCTGACCCCCACTGTGCCCTGACCCACCGTGCCCACCTGTGTCCCATTCTGAGGCTCTGCAGAGACACTCAAGCCTACACCTGTCGATGGGCCACAAGTCGTGCCACTCTTGCCCGCTGGATAGGGTGACCATGGCTGTCAGAGCGCTAGGCTTGGTGAGCACGATCCTCACGGTGAACTTGGAGAATTACAGAGGGGCAGGTAGGAGTGTGGCACCGTGGGCACCTCACTGCTGGGAACATTCGTTCCCATTTCAGCACCTGGGCCTGGTACAGCTTCTTCAGGGTGCACAGTGCCCCTGGTCACACCTGGGCATCAGCAGCGTGCACAGTTCCCCTGGTCCCTGCCAGCTCGCGGGAGCCCAGTTGGTTTCTGGTTGCAACATTGGCTGGTCCAGCCATGGCTGTTGGGATTCGGGGAGTGAACCAGCTGAGGAAAGAGCTTTGTCTGTATCTCCGTCTGATTTTCAGATAAAAGGGGAAAGTTCGTTTTGTTTAAGGAAGTTGCTGGCTGTCTCCCAGTTGGCCGCCATCCACAGGGCAGCCCCTCGTCCGTAGCTCTGTGTGTTCCTGGTGGCTGACCACACCGGTCTCCTCTCTTTCCCGCGCTTGGCACGTCTGTGCCTTTCCCATCTCCCAGCCCCAGCGCCCCATCTCCCGGCCCCAGCCCCCCAGTCAGCTGTGTCTGCTGCTGGGTGACCTGGACACACTGCAGCCATGCTGCTTGTCCTGCCCGGCTGTGTCCCTGTCCTCCCTCCCCATGGACTTCACCCCTTCTGAGCCGGCTGGGCCACTGAGGTTGCACTGCTGGCTGGTCAGCCAGGCACTGCTGTGGAGCAGAGCTGGCCCTCTGGAGCCGGGGGAGGTGCTGCAAGTGGACTGTGTGATGGAAGGTAGCAGACAGCACAGATCACAGCGGCACTGCTGGATGGGTGACACGTGCACCTGAGCCTGCCCAGCCCCCGTGGAGGGGCAGCTCTCACGGCCCTCACTGCAGGACATCAGTCACCGCTGTGGCGGTGGTACCCTCCCACCCCATGCTGCCCGACAGCCCTGCCGCCCTGAGGCAGGTGGCTGGGCACATGGTGCTGCCAGGCCTCTTCCCAGGCCACCTTATCAGGAGGTCTGCAGGGCCCGCTTTACCCCGGGCTGGCTCCTGGACACTGTTGTGTTTGCTGCCGTTTCCAAGCTGGGCCATGTGAGGGTCAGGGCAGCTTTCTTTCCCGGGTCACTAATCGGAAGCGCTGGGCAGGACAGGCAATGAGGGCGGGGTGTGTCTGCGTGGCACAGGTGCAGTGATCCACCCACACCTTCAGTTGCGACAATGATGGCTGGCCTGGAGCCCTGGGGGTGCACCTGGCCTCTGCTGGGTATGTGATGTCAGGAGGCGTGTTGCTGGAGTGTTGGGAGCCCTGAGACTTTGGGGATGGAATTGGATGTGATGAGGGGCTGGGTGTGTGCTGTCACATCTAGGCTGGCTCAGGGAAGCCCAAGGCCTCTGGGATTCCCCCAGGAGAGCCGTCCCGCCATGACTTGCTATGCCCAGTTGCTGGGGTGGACCTGACCACTACCTGCTCCATGACCCAAGGGGCTGGCAGTTGTGCTGGGCCCCCTGGCTCAAAAAGAAGTAGTGATCTTGTTGATGGGCATTTTGTTTATTGTGGTCCTGGAGGGAGAGCCTTCTGCCCCCGCAGCCACGGAACCTGGCCATTTTTTCTTTCAGGCTCAGCTGTCACAAACCCTGGAGGAGCTGGGAGGCCAGAAGCAGAGAGCGGACATGGTGAGTCCTGGGCACCTGCTGCGCTGGCAACAGTCTGGGTGTGGGATGCCTGGCACCACCCCTACGCCCCGATTTTGGTGCTAGGTGGGCAGGCGGCCTCTGCTGTAGCAGGGTCCCTCTGCTGTCTGGATGGTGTTGAGGGTGAGGATGCTGAGCTAATCGGGGTTGGGGCTGTGCCAGGGCAAGGACGCAGGGCTTGGGGCGGGGCTTGGTTGTGCCAGGGCAGAAGCTGTGGGGCCAGGAGCAGCCTGCAGGCTGGTGTGGCCGTGGGTGCCCTCTTGCCCAATGGCCCTTTTCTTCATCCTTGGCATGCCAGGCCAATGGTGAAGCTAAGGGGCACTGTGTGTGGTGACTCAGAAGGTGCCCACCGGCTGCCACCGCGGGAGAACCGCCGAGCTCTGCAGCATTCTCACCTAAGCCCTGGGGACGCTCCATGCTGCACTGGCCCTTGGCAGCCTCTGGAAGGGCACAGCAACCCCCAAGGAGCCGTGTGAGCATGGCAGGGCACTCTGCCCAGGGCTGTGAGCCAGGCCTTCCGGGGGTGCAGGCCACAGCAGCAGGACTGTAAGAGGCCAGGGCAGCCGTGCCCTCTCGTCCGTGTACTAATGCTGGACAGGCTGCACGCCGTGTGCTGGTCCTTGTCGCCGCAGGCTGGGGTTCCCTGTGCACAAGGTCTGTATGTGCACCCACTGGGTGGGAGCCTGGCCGCTGGACCATCAGCCTGTGGAATGAGACGGGCAGAGCAGAAATGGCCAGGGGAGGGCTGGCTGCAGGTTCAGGGCCTTCCCTGTTGGCTCAGTGAGTACCCCAGGGCCCTCCCTGCATCCATGTGGCTTGGGGCAAGTCAGTGGACAGCGGGCCTGTGGGTAGTGGAAGCCCAGCGAGGGGACACGGGGACAAGGCTGGAGGCCTCTTTGCTGAGGGGACGTGGACAACGGCATTGCCCAAGGTCCTGTTGAAGGAAGGGGTGACGTGGGGCAGTGGGGTAAGGGAAGTCCTGGGGACGTGGGCCGTGGGGTGAGAGCACTGGGCTCTGACCCTGCAGACCTATGGATGTGGGAAAGACACAGCCTCGTGGCATGGAGTGGTGCGAGGACCTGGCTCCCCTTCTTGGAAAGACACTGGGTTGCTCTGGGCTGCAGTGGGAGTGGGCATGGATCAGAACTTCCAAGGGCCAGGACCCAGGTGACTGTGGGTCGCCAGGGTACAGAGATGCTGGGGGAGGGCTGCCCGACAGCTGGTACAGGTGCGTGGCATATTGTGAGCCGGGAAGCAGGTGTGCCGGCAGCTGCTGGAGGTGTTTCCATCCTTGGGAGATGTCGGCAGCCAGGGCTCCTGCCTCCTCAAGGCCTCCATCGTGCACATGTCTGCTGTTGGGGAGCAGCCAGTGACCGTGGCCAGGTCCTGTGGTAGAGGAGTGACAACTGACACGGGGCCCCTCCTGCGTGGACACAGGGTGGGAGCAGAGTGAAGGTAGGAGGCCTGGCCCTGGTCTGAGGTGGGCGTGCTGGAGGGGCAGGGCTGGCTCGCGGGTGAGCAGAGTGGAGGAGCGCTGGGGAAGATGAGCGGGCACCACCGCAGAGTCCTCCGTGCGTTTTTCTGCACATGCGTGCTGACTCCTTCCGGGGCCACGGGAGCCCTGGGGGCAGTTTGCTCTCCTCGTTTCCTCTGTGTTCTCAGCAGTGAGCATTCCTTCCTCATGTAATGGGAAGGGGGGAACTTGTAGATGGGGGCCTGGAGGGGTGGTACCCCAGCAGCCAGGTATAGAGGAGCCAGTAGCATCTGGGCTGTGGGGATTCGCCCCCAGCCCACCCGCCAGCTGAGCTCCAGCCCCTTTGTGTGGGGGTGGGTGGGTTCTTGCAGAGAGCTTGCTGCTCGGTGTGTCCTCAGGCCTGGATGCAGAGTGCCCAGGGCCCTAGCGTGGCATGTGCGCCAAGCCGTGAGGTGCTGGGTGCCCCTAGTCCACACGCTGGTTTCCTGCCTCGGAGTGGCAAGCGAGGGTACATGATGTGTTTGAAGGGGACTTCAGTAATGTACAGAGGGGACCGGGGGTTGTCTGGGCCTTCAGCTAATTGTGGTCAGCAAGACAAAGGCAGCCTGACTTTCTGCTATTAATTAGAGGGCCCATTCTGATTACTGAGCACAGTACTCGTCACGCTTTTTTCTTCAAGTGCAATTAGTACCGCAAGGGCGGATGTCCCGGGCCAAGCTGTGTCGTTTCACTTTTCACTCTAATGAGACGTGGCCAACACAGCTGAAGAATGAGCATTTGGATTGCAGCTATAAAAGCCTCCTGCTCTTTTACAGTCTTTGCGGAGTGAGAAGTGGAGTTCTGTTTTCTGATTTACACAGTTACTGCCTCCGCCTTGTGTGACTGGGCAGCTGTCTTCCTGACAGAGTGTGGCAGCATCGGCCACAGAGAGGCCAGGCACCGTGACAGAGCGTGGCAGCATCGGCCACGGAGAGGCCAGGTGCCATGACACGGAGCGTGGCAGCATCAGCCACTGAGAGGCCAGGCTCTGTGACACAGAGCGTGGCAGCATCGGCCACCGAGAGGCCAAGCGCCGTGACACAGAGCGTGGCAGCATCAGCCACGGAGAGGCCAGGCACCGTGACAGAGCGTGGCAGCATCGGCCACCGAGAGGCCAGGCACCGTGACAGGCACCGTGACAGAGCGTGGCAGCATCGGCCACTGCCGCGCTACGCATGGTGCGCAGGTGCAGGGCCCCTTCCTCCTGCCTCACGTGGCACCTGTGGAGCGTGGTCCCAGAGCTACAGCGTATCTTGGTCACTGCAGCCTTGCTGCAAGCTGCTCTGTGCTGACAGGGACCTGGACACTGGGGTAGGGGCAGCATAGAAGGCAAGAATCTGAGACGTGTCACACACTAGGAACAGAGGCACATAATATACTAGTGTGAGCAGTGCCTCGTCCCGCATCAGACACACTGTGCGCGTGTGTGAGCAGTGCCTCGTCCTGCACCAGACACACTGTGCGCATGTGTTTTCATGAGCAGTGTCACCCTAAACTGGAGAACTTACCTCTTGCGTAAAGAGTTCTCAATAACATTCAAGGCCAATCGTGTGCTAGATAATAAACCATTTATGAATCCATGTGAGTGGAAGCAGGGCGGCCACCCTGGCGGCGGTGTGATGGGATCTGATATCACAAGGAAACACACAGAAAGCAAAAGGTCCTAGCACTTGGAACTTAAAAGCAAAACAAAGGGCCCAGCACGGTAGTCTAGCAGCTAAAGTCCTCACCTTGTACGCGCAGAGATCCCATATGGGCACCAGTTCTAATCCCGGCTGCCGCACTTCCCATCCAGCTCCCTGCCTGTGGCCTGGAAAGGCAGTCAGGACAGCCCAAAGCCTTGGGACCCTGCACCCGCGTGGGAGACCTGGAGGAGGCTCCTGGCTCCTGGCTTCGGATCGGCTCAGCTCCGGGCACTGCGGCCGCTTGGGAATGAGGCATCGCACAGATCTTCCTCTCTGACTTTCCGATGAAAAAGATCTTTTTAAAAAAAGCAAAGCAAAAGACAGAAGAAAACACTTCATGTGGAAGTTTCTGGACTCAAAGGGAGAGTGTGAGTCAGAGGGAGCTAAAAGCTGGGAATACTCAAAATGAGAACGCGTCTCGTCAAAGCCTGGCAGCATGGAGATGCCGGGCTGCTCAGGGCCGTGAGGGTGACGTGTCAGGGAGCAGAGCGCGGGATAAACCCGAGGGGCGAGAGGGGAACTCGTGGAAGAAGAGAGCCGAGTTAACAGGCCGTGAGACGGGAGGGATGGCGGCCACCTGCCAGGCACTCCGACGGGAAGTCACGGGTGTGATGGGTCACCGGCCAGCACACGGCGCGGCTCTGGATGAGCAGAGTCGCTGAGCCGTGCCCCAGGGTGCCCGTGGTGTGGGCAGCCCAGGTTACATCCAGCCAGCAGCCAGGGTGAGCCGCCAGGCTAGCCCCCCACCTGCCGCCCTGCCAGTGGCCTGGGAACCCAGTGCAAGGCGGCTCGATCTTGGGGGCGTGAACCAGTGATGGAAGCTCTCTCTCTAATTCTACCTTTTCAATAGATAAGAATTGAAAGAAAATGATGGTAAAGCAGACCTAAGATAAAATGCCCACGTGGTCCTGAGGACGCTCCAGCCGAGGAGCTGACTGAACCCCAGGCGCAGCGCAGAGGGAGCCTGCACCTCTCACACAGCCCTCGCTGGCAGCGGGCGCCTGCTGCTTTGGGCTCAGGCCAGCGTGGCGCCTGCACGCAGCGAGCCCGCACTGCCCCGCTCTGTGCAGGCTGAGCGCCACGGTGTGGTTCACAGGGACGGGGTGCCTCTCCTGCTGGCTCCGGGGACCCTCTTGCCGCTTCCTGTGGCTGAGGCCAAGGAGGCAGAGCAGGGGCTGGAACTTGAGGGTGTGGGCTGGGCCTGCAGCTGCAGCCCACGAGCTGTGAGCACTGGTGGGTGGAGACCTCGTGCCCTGCGCTCGCCTGGCCCCTTGGGCGCAGTCCAGCACGAGGCGTTGGTGGGGTTTTAGCTTCACAGGGCATCCTCTTTGTCATGCCAAAGGCTTCGGAGTGTGTCAGCTGAGAGCGCGCTCTCTGGAGGTGTTTCCACCGGCATCGTGGGCAGGAGAGCCGCTGATTCCACTCTGTGGCCTCTGCCGAGTGGAGTGCCAGGGAGGAGAGCAGAGGCGTGACCAGCGTGGGGGTGTGGTCCCGCAGCCTGAGTCTGAGCACACCCCAACAACCCCTGGGAACCGGTTGATTGGTCAGGGAACATTTTAATGGCTCAGACAGAGCTTAGAGAAACTTTCCCAAATTGTTTCTACGAAACCAACTTACATAACAGAAGAAAATGTCCTCTGTACAAAATGGGATGTGGGAAAAAATACATACCCAGGACTTGGCGAGCACTGCTGGGGAGCACGGCCTGCGGGCAAGGGTCATCCTGTCCTCACGGGGTCGGCTGGCTAAGGGCAGGTGAGCTGGGGAGGGGCAGCTCTGCAGGGGGGACAGGGAGCAGCCGCAGGGGCCACACTCGGGGACAGGGAGCAGGTGAGGACTACGTGGGTGGCCCCATTGAGTGCATTTCGGTAGACCACCCGGCTCAAAGAGGTGGTGCCACTTATGAGGCTGCTATAGCTTCTTCCCGCCTGAACAAGGCTGAGGGCTTGCTGTTGGATTGGGGTGGCCTGACTTCCTACAACCTGTGCATGGGGCTGCTGTGCAGTTGGAAGCCGCAGAGGTGAGAAAGGGGGCGCTGGCCAGGCTCCTGGCGCTCAGGCTAGGGGTCCAGGCTCTCTGGGCAGTGGGGTCCCCCCGTGCGGCTCCTGCATCCCTGCCTTGCCTGTGCTTCCTCATAGCTGGAGATGGAACTGAAGATGCTGAAGACACAGTCCAGTTCTGCCGAGCCCAGCTTCCGCTTCTCCAGGGAGGAGGTGGACGCCCTCAGGTAAGCGGGCATGGACTGCAGGGTCTCTGGGTGCCTCTCCATGTCCCCTCCAGGTGCAGCACGTACCCCTGAGAGGCCAGCAGAGTTGACGCAGGAGGCACGGAGGAGGGACCTGTGGGTGGCCTCTGTGGCCCATGGCTCTCAGCCAGCTCAGGTGCTGCCCACCACATTGTCTGGCATCGTGGCACTACTGGTGGATTGGGGCTGTGGACCGACTTCTTCCCATCGCCCCTGGCCTTTCCCTGTGTCCTGTGCACCTGCAGGTTCCTGGGCAGGAGACGACGGGGAGCGGGAGCCCCAGCCTTGTGCTGGGCGAGGGCCTCCCGTGAGGCGCCAGCTGCCGTGGCTGCCCGTTGACCAGCGTGGGGCAGACAGCACCCAGTGCAGGGAGCTGCCCGTTGACCGGCGTGGGGCAGACAGCACCCAGTGCAGGGAGCCGTGCCTACCTCCGGACAGATATATGGTCCTTCTTTGGCCTCCCTGGATGCCGAGGGGTGGGGGGCGTGTCCCCATGATGTGGGGGTGCTCCAGGCTCCCCTGGACTTGAGGATGGCAGCCACATGCTGTGTCCTTGTGGGTACAGGGATCTACATGGCACGTGGCTGTGACAGGGGAGCCAGGAGGGCAGCAATGGAAGCTCATCTGTGTGTGGGAGGGCAGAGGCCTGGTGGGCACCGGACTGGGTCTGGTCTTTGTCCCTGGAGTGCGGGAACCCTTGGGCATTTCAGATCAGGGCGATACAGGAAGCATTGTGGACACTGCAGCCCACAGTGCCAGGCACTCGGAGAGCGGCTTGGCGAGGGCAGGCCGTGTCCCTGCCCCATGGAGGGGGAAGCCCCTCAAGACAGGGGTGGGCTGGCCAGCACAAGTTCCCAGGTCGGCCAGCATGTGTGCGGGGCCTGGCTCGAGGGAGCCAGCGGTCTGCTTCGTGTGGGAGGATGCTGAGGGGCAGGGCCTCAGTGCTCCTGTGTCCGCCAGGCGCTGGCAGGCAGGCTGTCCGGTGGACACAGCGACAGGAACCCCAGGGACCTCGAGCCAGTGATCTGGGCCACAGGTGCTGCTGCCCTGTGTGAGAGCGTCAGTAGGGCCGTCAGAGCACGGCCACACGGTCTGGTGTGTCTGGCCAGTGAGGGCGCCGCCGGGCTGAGTGGAGTAGTCACAGCCGTCCCAGCACACGGTCTGATGTGCAGGGTGGCGTCCCAGACAGGTCAACATCGGCTGGTGGCCATCTGCAGGGCTGCTGGGTGGGGTGGGGTGGCTGAGGGCACACGTCAGCTGGCTCCTCGCCGAGGCTGTCCTGGCGGCTGCCCGCTGTGCTGGCCTTCAGGGTCTCGAGGCTGCGTCTGGACTCTGGGGACCTGCCTCGTGGGCTTTAGTGACACAGTGACAGGGACCCCAGGTGACCAGCAGCACCCCAGCAGGGTTGCCTCGCCAGACCACCACAGTCCACACATGGCTACATGGAGGCCATGCCTGTGTCCCTACCCTACCTTCTTCACTGGCCCTGGGCAGTACGGTCCCGTGCCACCTGCCCCTTCATGGCAAGCTTAGAGCAGACCCGGAAGACATGTGTTTCACGGCGACATCCCCCTGCAGCTCCCCGGGCCCCCCGGCGGAGGGCCACATTGAGTCCTCCCGGGAGGACCTGGCTGACCGGAGACCCTCCCCAAGGGCAGAGATTCCCCGCGGAGTCTGCCCAAGTGGGACTTCTGAGGAAGAGAAAGCTGGGCCTGTACAGCCCCAGCATCTGCACGCGTGGCTCCTCCCACCAGCCCTTCCCAGAAACAGGGAGGAGCCCCGAGTCGAGGGGTGGGTCTCACACACACACACACACAGAGCTGTTTTGCATCAGTCATGCGTGTCACGTCACACACATGTGTCACAGCACATCATTCCCCCACCAAGGAGTTGGGGAGGTGTCTGCGGAGGCTCCAGTGGCAGCTGAGGGCTGTTGGCAGCCGCAGGGGCAGGTCCCACACTGTCTGTGAACTTGGGGTGGGAGGACTGGGAGTCCTCTTGTGGCCACAGTGACCATCGGTGTCATGCCCACAAAGCCCACATTGTCCAGCTGCCCAGGCTTCCTGCTGGGTGCAGGGCTGTGCCGCCCAGCCCTGGCTCACCCTGAGGCTGGACTGAGGCCCTTGGAGTTCATCTTGGGGCAGAACTGCTCTGTGGCCCCTCGGGCTGTGTGCCAGGCTCCTCCTCTACAGGCAGGGGAGAATGCTCACTGCCCACTGGGTTTCGGGTCAGCTGGGAGCTGGGGAGTACTGGCCGTGGTCACCCCAGGACAGACCTCGAGGGCCTGCAGCATTGAAGCCACACTTGGCTTCGGCTGGCTCCGTCTTGTTTGAAGGCCGTGATGTCCCAGGCACCATGTGTAGCCTCCTGCCTCGGCCTGGGCCACTGACCCTCTGAAGGGTGGCCACTGCAGTCACAGCCCTCGGACACCAGTGTCCCAGCAGGTGCTGCGTCTGTCCTGGGGCTGGGCTCTTGGAGCCTTGTGGCCAGTGTCCTCGTCAGGGTGCTTGGCTACCCTGTACCCCTTAGAGTCGGGCTGCCCTGCCAGGTGTCAGTCATAGCCTGGGGCTCATCTCATCTGGAGGTCAGAGCCCCCAGACTGCGTCGTGTGGGACTCTGGAACAGCACAGACATCCTGTCCTCAATCCCAGGGACGCTCGTGGCCAGGTGCATGTGGGCCGTCCCTCTGGCGTCTGCTGCCTGAGTCCCCTCTACTCCATGTCTTCTGCAGTGTGCCGCGTTTGCATGTTGGGTTTCCTGCCGTGTTAGGCTGTGAGGAGCTGAGCTGCAGCCCCCACCCAGCAGAGGCAGAACAAGATGGAGCAGGGGCCTCCCACCACACCCCCCCCCCGGACCTCAGGGTCAGAGGGGGCCAAGGTTCGGCAGAAGCTCCCCCTTAGCTGAGGTGTTGGGGAGCCAAGCACGCACCGCCTCCTTGACAATCTGGCATAGGGGGACATGGCCTGGCCCAGCCCTGCACTGTGCCTTATGAACAGTGGGACTTGAGGCCACGCAGTAGAGCCTGGAGCCGTGGACACATCCGCAGCTCCCCCGGACTCCTTTCCGCTTCAGCTGCGTAGAGCCACGCCTCACCTGTCCAGTGGCAGCTGGCACACTCGCCTTTTGAGTCCTGAGAAGTTGCCAAGTTCTGCCCCACCTGGGTCGTGTAACCTCACTAGTTACAGATGACTCCCGCTGTGCCACAGCGCCTCCCACCACATTGAGAAGCCTCCTGTTGGCACCGTGTGTTCTGTGCCTGTAGTGAACATTTGGAGATTAGCATCTTGTGCTGTGTCGGAGGAAGTCTCGGAGAAGTGCAGACAGCTGAGCCACCGGAAAGTCATGGCCTCAGAGAGCCCGGGGCAGCTGAGGACATTAGTGCCAAGTGCCCTCCTCCGGGCAGGGGAGGCAGGGGCCCCGTGGGCAGGGGCCCCGTGTGACCAGGGCCCGAGCAGCGGAGAGGCAGGCTGTGGGAGGGGTCCTTCCCAGGTGCCTATGATGACCCGGCTGGACCAGGCCACAGCTGGATGCTGGGCACTCAGTCTGCTGTCCAGGTGGGGGCAGTGTCCCGACTGCTCGTGGTGACGCCTGCCACCTCCCTGGTGCAAAGCAGCAGGAAGTAGAGTCAGAACCAGAAGTGAACCCAGCAGTCCCACGTGGGACGTGGCACCTTGAGCAGTCTCCCACATGGCCGGCCTCCCTTGGCAGTTTGAGTTGCATCAGGACGTGGCACCCTTGGGCCCTCTATCCTGTGATGGCTGCAGGGAGTAGCGCACACCCTCACCACCGCCCGCTGGCATCACTTGCTCTGTCAGCATCGCATCAGTGGCCTGTTGGCTTCTGCACACCCCGCCTGGGCCTGCCTCTTCTCCCCTTCCTTCCCTCGGCATGCTGCCGCGCGAGTGTTCAGCTCTGTGCGCCCCTGTGCGCATGAGGCATCACTGTGGCATCAGAGCCTGGCCTCTGGCTGCTCCACGCCAACTGTCCCTGGGGAGACGTGGGCACGGCTGCCCTAGGCTCTTCCTGGAAGGCAGCAGGGAGGGGCCCTCCTCGGGCTTACACCAGGTGCAGGACCAGACTGGCCGCCCCAAGGCACAACGAAAGCCAAGCATGTACCCCACACGGGCCTCTGGAACCTGCTGTCCCATTCCCGCAGGGGCCTTGGGGGCGGCTTACCTGGCCTGTGTTGGAATGCCCCTCCCTGCTCAGCATCCTGGTGCAGCCCTGCTCCCATGCAAGTGGATCCCACACTGCCAGGAGCTCCTCACAGCTGCTGGTGCGGGCAGGGCAGCCTCTGGCATGTGGGAGGGCAGCTGTCCTGCCCATCGGTCAGAGCTGCTGCCACGACCACGTGTCCACCTGTGGAACTGTGTCCTGCTCTGTGGCCGTGGCCATGGCTGTATTTGGAAGCAAAGCTTCCTGACCACGTCCTCTGACCCTCACCTTTCCACCAGCCAGAGGGCAGAGCCTGCCTGGTATGGGCATCGACCCCACCCCCAGCACCCCGCCCCATCACAGTTTTGCTGTCCTTGCAGGTTGAAGGTTGAGGAGCTGGAGGGCGAGCGGAGTCGCCTGGAAGCGGAGAAGAAGGAGCTGGAGCTGCTCCTCGAGAGACGCAACCTGCAGGTGAGTGCTGCCCATAGCCGCCCGGCGGCAGCGGGCCGCCCTTCCCGCACCCACGGTGTCCCCATCCCTGGCCCTTGACCCTCGCAGCTCCTGGAATGAGGTGAGGGGAGGGCTTCTGTGGGAGAAGTGGGCTTGCAGGGGGCTGCTTTCAGTGGTCAGCCTACTCTGACCGCTACCTGTCCCCTGACCCTCCCTTCCTCCGAGGCAGTCATGCTCTGTCACAGCCATTGATGCTGTTGTGACACCTGTTACAGGCAGGTGAAGCCATCTGTCCTCGCCTGTTCCCAGCAAGGAGCAAAGTGACAGGTCCCAGGACAGAGGGGCACTCCGGCCCGGGTATGGGATCTGCAGCCCCGTGCCTATCTCACCGGCCGCCCTCTATAATCCCCTTGGCTGGGCTCCGCACTGCCCGCAGGACGCCCCAGGGGCTCCTGGCGCTGATGGAGGACTGAGAGGTGAGAGGTGCTGGTGCATGGCAGGCACCGTGGGTGTGAGCCCACTGTCCTGTGCGGGTGGCTGCTTCCACGAGTTCTCCTTCATGCCTCCCAGGCTCCACACACCTGGGCAGCTGGGTGCATGGACATGGTGCAGCCCTGGGCCCAGCTGGCAGGGACACTGCCCAGTGAGTGCAGCAAAACCCGCCTTGGCAGCACTGTAGGCTTGGCCGATGCCTGGCACTTTGGGGATCCCCGTGGCCATGTAGGCATTGCAGCTGGGAGAAGCGCCCTTGGGGCCGGTGGCCAGAGTATCTCCCGCACGCTGCTTTCCTGCCCTTGGAGGTCAGCCTGGCCGCTGGGTGGTGTCCTGCTAGCCCTGCCACTGAGGTCCCTGCCTGGGCCTCCATCCGTGCCCCGCGGTCTCAGGCAGTGAGAGATTGAAGCCCAAGGAGCCGAGCTGACTGCTGACATGGTGTTGATCACCCGTTGTGAGGGCTGTCTGAGCTGGCTTCCTGCCTGCGTCATTGCCCCTCCAGTGTGGACGGGCCTCTGTGGGGGAGGGCTGATGGAGGCACCAGCAAGGCGGCGGCGGGGACAGAGACCTTGTCACAGAATGTGAGGGGAGTACCTGCAGGGGGCTGGCCTGGGTGGTGTTCGGAAGAGGCCTCAGCTACCTGGCCACGGGGAAGGCGGACACCGTGGCTGTGCAGTGTCCCTGCCTGCGGCAGACACTGCTCTGTGTGCTGCTGTCTGTGGCCTCCTGCTGCTCCCCACCCGTGAAGGCCAGGGCCTCCTCGCGGTCACTCGGTCCTAGCCTGGACGCTGCGGACACAGTGCCCTGTGTGTCACTGTCCAGCAGGCCTGCAGCTCCAGGCCGCGCATTCTGTATGCACACGGCAGCTCCTCGGCTCCCAGGAAGACGGACGAGAACCGTTCGGCTTCACTGGGAGCGCATGCGGGGGAGGGACTCCGCTAGCTGGAACTCCACTGACTGCTCGGGGCTAGACGCACGCTTGCCGGGGCCTGACTGCCATCACGCTGTCCTCTGCGGGTCAGCCCAAGACCCTCATTGGGCAGGGCTCCCAGGGCCTCCTACCAGCGGTGGGGTGGCTGGCAGTCCTGGGCCTCGGCTGTTGGCACACGGACGAACTAAGATGGGGGTCCAAGGCAAAGCACGGCTCGCACGTGTCCGACACAGACTGGACTGGGGCACACCCTGTGACTCCAGGGTCTAACCCAAGGGGTTATGGGATTGCTGTGGACTGCAAGGGAGGCAGGCCCTGCCCTGTCCTGCTCACCCTCAGAGCGGAGCCTCTGGCTGGGTGATCTGGGCCAGCATCCTGTGCCCAGCCCTATCCCCTTGTCTAGAACCTCGACCCATGGCAGTGGCCGCGGGGCTCTGCTGTGACCCTGCCTGGCAGAGCCCGTGTCCAGGCCAGCTGCAGGAGCTCCCCGACACCGCACTGGACGTCTTGGCCAGCGATGGTGCAGGAAACTCAGAGGCTCCTGCAGGGGGGTGTCCCCACATGCCTTCGTGGCACATCCGTCACTCTGCCATCCTTTCGTGCAACTTATTTTTTGGTGCATTTTAAAGTAAATTGCAAACATCTGTACACTTTCCTCTGAACATTGCGGCGTGCGTGTAATTAAGCAGAATTCATCGCCGCGCTCTGGGAGCCCACGCCTCCCTGTCCCTAATCACGGCGCTTATCCAGGCAGGTTTGTGGTCAGGGCCGGCACGGCCCCCCCGCCGTCCTCCCTGTGCGCCGCTCGGGAAGCAGACCGACATGCAGCCCCGGACATCTAGAGGAAGTGCGGCTTTTCTGGAAACAGAGTGGGTAGAGCATTGCTGGGTTCCCTGTGAGCCGAGAGCTCCCGGGCAGGAGAGGTTCTCCACTCCCATGTGCGTCACCAGACTGGCCGTGCCGTGTCCTCAGACACCTCCCTCGGCCCACAGTGATGGCCAGCCTCTGCCCAAAGCCCTGGCCCCGCTGGCTGTCCTTGTAGCCAGGCTGTCTGGACAGCTGCTGGTCTCTTGATGGCCTGCTTGTCCCCTTCTGGAGCCTTCTCTAGGTTGTAGCCAAGGTGCTGGCAGCAGCCTGGGTGTCGGGGTCAGCTTTACAGAGAAGCTGGCCGGGCACTCCTGAGTGGCAGGGCACTCCTGAGTGGCAGGGCACTTCTGGCCATGCTGTGTGCGTGGCACCTGCACCCCGGCACCTCTCCCTCCCAGACACTGAGGCACGCTGGGGCAGGTGTGGCCTGGCTAGCTCACTCAACTTACTGCTTCCTGGGCAGAGGGCGCGGACCAGGCACCCACTGCTCCCCCTGAGCTCCGTGCTGCCCCAGCTGGGTCCGGTGTGGAGATCTTGGCAGTGGTGTCCCTATCCTTGTGTGCTTCGTACACCATGGTGCTGGGTTGTGAGCACGCTGCAGATCCATGGAGGATGTGTGTGCCTGCCTGTCAGTGCCCTCAGGGTTTCTTTGGGCAGATGTACCCTTTGGTGTGCGCTGTGTCCAGCTCCTGTGCTGTGCCCACAGGCCAGCGAGTCGGGGTCTACAGTCCGGGACCATGGGCAGGCCAGTGAGTCGGGGTCTGCATCTGGGACCATGGTTCCAGCGATGGGGCCATGGTTGCTGCGGTTCTGCAGGCAGGCTGTGCCTGTGTCAAGTGCTCATTTGTGTTTGTGTTGTTGTCAAGGGTCTGTGAAAAGCACCTTGTCGTAGGCCTGTGTCCTAGACTTGGCCAGGACATCAGCTCGGCTTCCGCTGTCGCTACTCTCCCTGTTTCTAAGGAGCCTGGCCCAGCCCCCCAGGATGTCCCCTGCTGTGGTCTGTGCCCGTCAGCACATTTTCCAGAGGAGTCAAGTCTTGGTGGCAACTTGTGGAGTTTGCTGTGGATGCCCTTTGTGCTGGCTCTGCCGACCCGGGGTCTGTTCCATGGCCACGTCTCGAGGGTTGTCATGTGTCCAGGGTGGACTCCAGTCAGCTGGTGGCATCCCCCGTGGTGTCTGCGCGTGGCTTTCCTGTCCCTGTGAGCAAGCAGCAGAGTGCCTACCCTCATGCCGTCTGGCCCTGCAGACATTGTACCAGGCCAGGCCTGCGAAGGTTTTATGTAAAATAAGACGTGTGACAGCAGCGCTCGGCAGCGCACACCCGCACCACGAGACGCGCTGCTCATGTTTATTAACGCGGCAACTTAAAAAAGCTGGCTTGCTGATGGTACCCGCGTGGCAACGTTTCCACAGGCGCTGCTGATTTCTGATTTTCCCAGAAGAGTGATGCACCCTGAATATGAAGACCCCTTCCCCTCTGCCTGCCAGCCCCCAGGGCCTGGGCCTGCTTGCCTCCCCCGCCCCTTATGCAGAGCTGCAGACCGGCAAGAGATGGGGTGCGTTCCTCAGCCCCAGCTTGTCCGGTCCCCATGTGTCTTATCCTTTGGCAGCGTGGTGTCCTCCGAGCTTTGGCTCTCAAGACCCAGGCTGGCCCTGCCTGCAGGGACCAGAACACACATGACACAGCAGAGAGCCGACCTGACCACTCCCCTCGGGCCTGGCGTCCACGTTGACCTGTGGTGCGTCCCTGACCTGGCTTACTGACCCACCTGCTGTGTGCCAGGTGTGGCCTCCTGGTGGCCTGGAAGGAGATGTAAGGAGGCAAGGTGAGGTTCTTGTGGCCTCTGGGTAAGGGACAGCTCTAGGGCTGCGGCCACCCTCTCCTCGAGTGGCCCCCAAGACCCAAGTGGGAAGGGGGAAGCAGCAAGTTGGCCATGGAGGAGCAGTGTCCGGGGCCGGGGCCTGGCTGTGGGTGCCCGAGCATTCTGGCTGCCAGGGCCCTTGGCAGGCCTGTTCGTGGAGGCCTTGTTGCAGTCCAGCAGTTGGTAAACATGACTCAGGAACCAAGTGTTGGCCCCACTCCTCCTGGGTGCCGTCAACATCATTTTATACCCGTCATCTGCCGGCCTTGAAGCCCCCTGGCAAGGGTCACTTCCCAGAGTGACCCACAGGAGCAGCGGTGGCCGCAGGACAGCAGGACGAGCGTTCCACCCGCCCCCAGGGTAGGGAAAGACCTGGGCGCCTCAGAGGCTGACAAGAGGATGCAGGACCGTGCAGTTCTCTCTCCCTCAACAGCCGGAGACAGGCAAGCGGGGTGTGAAACCCACCCTCCCACGTGCTCCTGGGGAGCCCCTGCAGCAGAGTGGCCAGCAGTGTGTCCCACACCCTTCCTGCCTGGACATGTGTCACCACTCGCTGCAGAATATATCGACCAGGGCAGCAGTGGCAAGTGGGCCAAGTGCCACCTGGCTTCAGCCCCCCGCATGTACTTCCCTCACCCAGAGAGGCAGGGACGCTTCTGTCCCCCAGGCCGTGTGGCCACTCTGAGGGGGCACAGGGCTGTTCCGCGGTGACCCACATGTGGATAATGGGCCTGGGGGGTGCCCTTCCCACACGGTGAGCTGCAGGGTCTGTGAGGCCCACCTCAACACAAGGTGGGGCTGGAAGACCAGGACGCGGGCAAGGATGCTGGGCCGAAACCTGCTCCCTGTTCTCCGGCCAGCTCGGCTTCCAGTGGGCTCTGCTGCTGGGGCGGGCTGTGACAGAGACTCCCACATCTCTCTCTCTCTCACACACACACACACACACACACGGCAAGGGGCCCACAGTGGCTGGAGTTGTTGGCTAAGCACAGCCATCTGCCAGCTGGACCCCAGGCTGTGACTGCTGGGTGCTGGTGCCCCTCAGCCCTGGGGGAGGGGACTCCCAGGCTGTGACTGCTGGGCGCTGGTGCCCCTCAGCCCTGGGGGAGCTGCCCCCAGGCACGGGCCACAGATCAGCTTGAGAAGTGCTAAGCACCCCAGCTTCTCCCAGCCTTCTCACCATAGCTCTGCAGTCAGGCCAGTGGGCAGACTCACAGGTCTCCCACGCTGTCGGCTGCTCCATGCCTCACTGCACCTCCTGTCGCGTGAGGGACTGGAAAGCTCGGGCCGACTCACTGATCTGTGCCATGTGTTTCCCCAGGGCGACTACGACCAAAGCAGGACCAAGGTGCTGCACCTGAGCCAGAACCCTGCCAGCACGGCCCGGCAGCGTCTGCGTGAGGACCACGAGCAGCTGCGGACTGAATGTGAGAGGTTGCGGGGGCTGGTGCGTGCCCTGGAGCGGGGAGATCCCGTTCCCACCGACCTGGAAGCTGCCGCCAGCCTCTCGTCATCCCAGGAGGTGGCAGGTATGCCCCGTGCCTGATGTCCACAGACAGGGCAGCTCTGGATAGCCAGGGCCCCCCCACGTGCTGCAGCCCTGCGAGGCCCTGCAGTGGGTTCGCACCATTGACCGCACGCTACGCAGCCAGGAGGCACTTCAGCTTCCTGGAGTAGGTTGAGGATGGCCTTGGGGGTGTGTGAGTGACTGCTGGTGCCTGTGCAAACCTCAAGCGTTGTGGACACTGAAGTCCTTGGCCATGACCGTTGCCGCTGTGAGAAACAGTCTAGTCAGTGCCTGGGAGGGACCCAGTGCTGTGCCAGTGGCTGCCCAGGAGGGCTGAGGAAGAGCAGGAGCGTGGCCCTGCGTGCCGGGGGCTCCGTCTGGTTGCCATGGCCATGCCATTAGCAGGGAGGCTGCGCTGGGGCGGGACTGCAGGCCCCCAGTGCCCAGGCGGCCTGCTATGTGGGGGACTGTCCCGCACGGTCACCTCTGTCCCTCGCCATCTCAGGGCTGAGGCCTCCACAGTGTCCACGTCTCAGCCGCTACATGAGGTGACAGTGGGTTGCCGTGGCCCGAGGCACAGGCCTGAATTTGGGGTGTCGGAGGGCAGCATTGTGGTATCTGCTGTCGGATGAGCTGTGGCCGTGCTGTGGCAGGTGGCCAGACACTGAGGACTGATTCTGCATTGCAAGTGCCAGGGACGCCAGGGCTGCCCCAGAAGTGTGGGTCGGGCTTGGAAGACAGCAAGAGGTACAGGCGTGGGGCCGGAGATGTGTACTCACTCCCAAGGCCACGTGCTTCCTGGCAGCTGCAGAGACCCCAAGCACCTCCAGATAGGGCAGGTGTAGCGCCCGCCTGGCAGGAGCCCCCACCTGTGTGCAGACACGCGCCTTGCGTCTTAGGGTTGGGGTTAGACGTCTGTGTGGGTGCAGGCACTTAGAGATCCCTGCAAGGGCGTCTTGTGAGGAATGTTCTACGAGCTTGGGAGGGCGCAGCACACACATAAGCTTACCGTGAGCATCTTTAAGGCCGCATCCGTGTGTCCTCCCCAGGAGAAGCCAGGAGCCGGAGCTCACTGTCACATCCTCCCATCTCAGCAGGGACCCAGTCGCTGGAGCTGTCAGCCCTGACGCAGCAGGAGCTGGCGCTTCAAGTCAGAGCGTCCATGCTCTTGAGTCTGCGGCCTGCCCCCTCGCAGGTGTGAGCAGGAAGAGCAGACACGGTCCACTCGTGCCTGGCTGCCCTCTGGGTACAGCCCCCTGGGTAGGGTCTGCAGGCCTGCGAAGGACCTCCCAGACCCCTAGCATGTGCCTCACCCAGCCTGCGCCCCTGACTCAGGACGGGGCCGAAGCATGGCCCAGGGCCGTGGCTGTACTCCGGGGGGCTGGCAGGAATAGGTTATGTGGTTTTCTGGTTTCTTCCAAGTCCCGCCCCAAGAGTCTGGCAGGAAGCTGGCCCCAGCCTCTGCCTGCAGTATCTAGCCTCATCGCATGGCCACCTGCTGTACCAAGCCTGGGCTGGGGAGGTTAGTAATTGCAGCTTAATCAGGTAATGCATTAATATTAATCTAAACTTATTAGAACTGCATATGAAAAATGATGGGATTTCTCATTGCCTCCCAGAGCCCCCCTGCCATGCTCTCGGGATGGGGCCATTCAGCAGAGATGCCAAGGGCTGTTTCTCTTTATTGTGGTACATTTATTGATTTGGAAATCGGACTTGAGACCTTCTATTTGCTGGTTCACTCCCCAGATGCCCACGGCATCCTGGCTGGACCAGGCCGAGGACAGAAGCCAAGAGCTTCACCTGGGTCTCCCACATGGGTGCAGGGTCCCAGACACTGGGACCATTCTCCACTGCTTTCCCAGGCGCATTTGCAGGCAGCTGGGTGGGAAGTGGAGCCACTGGGGCCGGGGCCTGTGTGGGATGGGAGGTGGAGCCCTCTGGCACAGCAGGGTGGCAGTTTAACCCGCGGGGTCACAGCACCAGCCCTGCTGAGCGACTTTCTACCTGGTCCCAGAGCTTCTACTCCAGACCGACCTGGAGTCTCCTCTTGGGCCGGGCCGGCCTTGGAAGCCGTCTCAACAAGTCCAGGCTTGCAGCAGGCAGGAGAGCTGCTCCCCCAGGCCTACCTCCCACTGTGGTGCATGCTGTGCTCGGTGCTGAGCTCTGGGCAGGACTGGACCTCAGTCAGTGCTGGGCTGGGGGCAGGGCTGAGCATGGGCAGAGCTGGGCCTGGACAGGGCTGGGCCTGGACAGGGCTGGGCCACAGTCAGTGCTGGGCTGGGGGCAGGGCTGGCCATGGCGGAATGACAGTGCAGATCAGAAGGGCCTAGCTGCAGGCAGGGGCCCAGCCGGGAAGGGAGGCTGAGACGTGGGTCCCAGTGTGTGTCCCCTGAGAACGGGGAAGAACTGTGTGGTGAGAGCCGAGCAGACCGATGCCCACATACAGGCCCACGTGGGCAAGCACACCAGAAATGTGCCATGGGGGCGCACGGTGTTGTCAGACACTGAGAACACAGATGGGCTTTGATGGGACACTGGCGTCTTTAGAGGAATGCCGGGGTGGCTGGGGCCAGCTTGCGGGACATGCCAGGGCGTCGTCGGGGCTTTGTCTTACTGGACACACAGCGCGTGTCTCCGCACACTCTGTGCCCCCATGCCCGCTTAGGTGGTGGGCAGCGTCGAGTCTGAAGCTGGTCTTCCTGGACAGCTCGTCCTGGCAGACCCCTTGGCGGTGGGCGTCCGCTCCTAGCCGCAGGGCTTTGCTCGTGTTCTCCGCCAAGCGTGCGGAGCTCACACGGTGTGGGGGCAGCCACGGCCCCTTGCCTTTAGTTTGCTGTGTGGATTGTTGAGGGGACTGCCCCCTCTGATTTCCCACCATGGTCTCGCATACCCTGACCACGCAGTGGGGCTGCCCTGCTGGTCCAGGTGTCCACTGTTGCGGCCCACCACACTGCCCCATAAGGCTCTGAGGCGAGTCCGTGTGCCACACGGCTCCTCCAACTTCACGCTGCCCTTTCAAAGTCGTCTTGGCCCTCTGTCTCTGATCTGCTGCGTTGAGCCTGCCGAATCCTGCTGAGCTTTCCCTGGAATTCCATTAAGTCCAAGATCAGTCTGAGCAGAACTCATGTCTTTATCGGCCCCGAGCCCAGCCTGCCTCTGCACGCTCCCAGCTTCCCTTGGGATTCTTTCTTTAGCATTTTTCAAGTTTTGGCGTATGTACCTGCTGCGTGTTTTATTGGAAATACACCAGGTTCGTTGGGCTTCTGAGTTTGGGAGGTGCAAATTGGGGGCGGGGGGCTGTTCACAGTTTCGCTTGCCCATCTCGGGGGTCGGACGGTGGGTTTCTGCCTCAGTTTTGGGCTCCCTCGACTTCCCAGGCAGATCTGTTGTGTGTTTTCTAGTTCCTGGCAGCCCGGGGACTGGTTCTGCTGGACTCTGTGGCCACGTCTCTATTTCCAGGCGCTGAGGCTGGTGTGGGGCAAGCGAGGGCTGGACTTCCCCAGGCTGTTGGCAGTGAGAACAGCAGTGCCCTGTCCTTGGGTCACTAGGTGGCACTGGGCTCCGAGACGCAGCCTCCTAGGCAGGCTTGGGTTTGCTCCCTTCCTCAGACGGCTACGGTGGCAAACAATTCCTGGGGATGTTTCCAGTCCTGACCCAGCCCTGTGTCCGTGGGCCGAGTCCTCTGGTGAGGTGTGCCACTGTGCCACCGCTCCCTGCTGCCTCACCCTGGTGGGCCTCATTTCCCTGTCCACGTGGGGAGTCACGGGGCACTGCAGGGCACACGTGGAATAGAACCTGCTGGTGTCGGCGCCCGGGGCCCGAGCCTGCTTGCAGCCGGTCCCGGGCGTGACCTTTCTTCTCGGTGTACTTTTGGTAGACTGTGGCACTTGCCAAGCTTGTGCCCCCTCCGCCTGCAGCCCTGCCGTCACGCTCCTGCAAGTGGCCGGGCAGGGCGGGGTGCTCGTCGGCGTCAGCTGTGCCTGGGCGCTCCCGAGGCGCTGCAGCCCCAAAAACCCTGTGGTTTCGTGGATAATTTCCTACTCTTTTCGGCTTGATTTCAGCTTAGTTTCTGTTCTGTTTCATTCTGCCCTTCCTTCCCTGGTTTCTAAAGGTGGAAAATTAGCTTGCAGATTGGAGCTGTTTCTGGTCTCTGATGTGAGCAGTCTGTGCCGTATGTTTTCCTCCGCACGCTGCTTTAGCTGTGTGCCGCAAACATGGAGCTCTTCTGTCTTCATTGTGTTTAGTTCAGAATATCTTTTAAAGATTTATTTTTATTTGAAAAGCAGATTTTACAGAGAAAGGGAGAGATAAAGATCTTCCATCTGCTGGCTCATTCCCCAAATGGCCGCAATGGCCGGAGCTGCGCTGATCTGAAGCCAGGAGCCAGGAGCCCTCAGCTCCTCCTCACCTCCCACGGCCAGGCCTCGAACCATTCTCGGCTGCTTTCCCACACCGTAAGCAGGGAGCTGGATGGGAAGTGGAGCAGCTAAGACACGAATCAGCACCCACATGGGATCCTGACGCTTAGAGGGTTAGCCAGTTGAGCCCTTACACAGACCCCAAGATTTTTTTCAAACTGCATTTAAGGTGTTCTGTTGTTTGGATGCAGCATCTGTCATCTGGACTTTGAATGTGGTCTGTGGTTTGAGTGTGGTCAGTGGTCTGTAGTTTGAATGTGGTCAATGGTTTGGACGTGGTCTGTGGTGTGAATGTGATCAGTGGTTAGAATGTGGTCTGTGGTCAGTGGTTAGAACGTGGTCAGTGGTGTGAGTGTGGTCTGTGGTCAGTGGTGTGAGTGTGGTCAGTGGTGTGAGTGTGGTCTGTGGTCAGTGGTGTGAGTGTGGTCAGTGTTGTGAGTGTGGTCAGTGGTGTGAGTGTGGTCAGTGACATGAATGTGGTCAGTGGTTAGAACGTGGTCAGTGGCATGAGTGTGGTCAGTGGTCAGTGGCGTGAGTGTGGTCAGTGGTCAGTGGCGTGAGTGTGGTCAGTGGCGTGAGTGTGGTCTGTGGTCAGTGGTGT